TAGACGATAACCTGGTTTACCATATTCTAAGAAAGCATTCCGCTAAAAGGTGTGGATGTATCTGACTCCGGCTCCAGAGACTGCTGTGTATTGCATTCCTGCTACAGTGCAAAGAAAGGGACCAAGGTTCCCAGGAAATGTTTGCCCAGATGGAAGATGAGGACCAAGGAGGCGGAGGCAGAGGAGGAGGAGGTGGAGGAGGAGGAAGGCAGCCGTCGTGGGAGCCTGGTGGAGGGAGATCCAGCTACAGAGAACTGGACAAGACAGAGAAAACAGCCGACTGGATCCTCCAGAACGGCAGCCGATGTCACCAGAAGCTCAGGGCTGGTGTCCCTGGTTGGCTGTTGCCACCGTTTCATGTGATACAGTCCACCATCACCGATCATGGGCGCAGTTGCGGATGCACTTGAAGAACCAAACCAGTGTGTCTCCTGGGGGTTGTTTTCACATGTCTGAAGACACCAGGGAAATGTAATCCTGATGTCACTCCTTGTCATTATGTTTTACTGCGGAAAGTAAGAAAGGTTGATTTTTTTTTTTTTGTCACTCAATGGAGACATACCCAAGAAAGGAGAGGAAGAAAAAAAAAAAAAAAAAAAAAAACAAAGACACAGGAGATAATAACCTTTGCATTTGAAAGTTCAGGCCTGAGGTTTACTACAACGGTTGGTGATTGATTTTGAACATGGTGTGTGGGGTGGGAAGAAGTTGGCCAGGAACCAGAAAGGCTGTCCTCGTGATTAGAAACAAACCTGACGGGATTTCCTTTATGTCTTTGGAAACAGGAAACAACTTGTGGTTTTCAGCATCATTTTTGTAGGAGAGCAAGTGGGGAAGGCCCCCTGCTGCCCCTGGGCAGGGCAACCCACCCCAGGCCTGTTTACAGAGAGACAGACGTTACATACCCAGCTCCAGTTATGCATGGTCACCAGTGACCAGAGAAGCTACTCGATGCAATGCATCCATTTCAGATACAGAAATATAGAGAAGATATTTATTGAGATTTAAGTTATTGTTATTTATTACCATTCACTAATGAGTTTCTCTCTTTTCCCTTATTTATTAAAGTTTCTTTTCAAAGGTGCCAAAGTATATGTGCTCGCAAAATGCAAAGAAAGGTGACAAAAGGAAATTTCAATTGGGAACAAGGGTCCATGCTTTTCAAAGTATTAAAAAGTTTTTCGCTAGGCAAAAATCACTTACTTTACCTTTTTAAGAATATTCTTCATTAATTTCCCTGGATTTCGGCATTTTTCCTTATTTTTTTTTTAAATGTCAGAAGGTGCGTCTCTGGAGGCCCCCTTTCTGAGAGCGGGGTGCAGAGACCATCAGCCCTTGGCTCTATCTCTTCGTTGCTCCACCCCTGAACAGACGTGCCACGTGCTCCACGCTCTGTGGGATTTAAGCTCTCCCTCCATTCTATGTCTATCTATCTATAAATATGCATAACCATATATATAAAAGATTAAATCCCTTTTAGTAGGTAGTCCTGGATTTAATGTTGATCTAAAAGTAAAATAAACAGGTAGCCAAGGTTTTGCCCTGACTTGGGGAGACCCTTCCTCCATCCTTGCCCACCTGCTGCCTTCCTGAGAAACATGCACTTTTCAGTGCAGCCGAGGAGCCTTCCAGAAGTGGGGTCTGCTGGTCCTCTGCAAAGCCTTTGCTGTCACTTGTTGTACACCCAATTGCTCCCTGGTAAGAAGGTGGCTGAGAAGGATGGACAAGAAAGAAGCGTGTAGCCTGGCCATGGTGCACACACCCAAAGCCTCAGCTCAGAGTGCACTACCTTCATGACAAAGGGGGTCAGAGGGGAGGAAGCATAGGGTGAGGACGGCCACCTCCTCCGTGCCCAGGCTGTGGGTTTGTCTGGCAGCCGACACATGTGTGATGCCCTGGGCCCTCTGTTAGAGCTTTTTACATGTTTTATAAACGGGAATCTTATCAAGGAAATGATCTGTCACTACCTTGATAGCTATTAGCCACAAAAGTATGACAGATTTAGCAATTAAATGACCTACTGGCCTCCCTCAATAATCATGTTAATCTTACACAGTAACCAAGAAGCAGCAGTTACCACACATCCCCCTCTCCCCACCCCAGAAGACCCAAGTTCTCCATCTTATATTCTGCCCCTGTCTGTCCCTTCTGCTCTCCTTGCACGACTGGGAAATAGAGGAAAAGGGCTTCACTCTCACTCTCCCCTGGGGCCTTGCTGAGAAACAGCCTTCTCCAAATGCTGACAAACCCAGCCATCCAGTCATTCTTGAAGCACAATTTGGACATAGCCCTGGGATCATCTGTCTAATTCAGAGAACCCGGCAGATCTGGTGGCCAATGTTCCCAGGTATTCAACCTCAGCCCCAGCTCCCATTGAGAGTCCCTGCCCAGAGGGACCGTAGGGTTCAATGGGTGTGGACAGCTTGTTCCCAGCATCACTACACACCATAAGCAGGTTTTAACAGAAGCAAGTTTGCTCCAGCACATCCACAAAAGGGTAAAGTTTGTGATTTTTCTTTAAATTGCAATTGCCATCTGATCCAGTAAGGAGTGCACTTCTTTGGAAGTTCTGACTTCTCTGATCTGTCTCAGTCGTTTGTGTTACTCAACCAAAGTTCTCTACAGACTTTATTTTTGTACAATATCATTTTGTAACTTTTTACAAATAAAAACTCATTTCTATTGCTTTCTGTACTTCTGTGCTTCCTCAAGGTGCCCCCGGAACAGGCTGGGCCAGGCAAGGCCAGGTGACCACCCATGAGCACTTATGAGCCGCCCCCTTCATGACCACACAGCCTGCTGGTTGGTCAGTGATCTTGCCCATCAACTCCCAGCAGCCAATCACTACCCAGGTGGAAAAAACTTGCAAAATTGTCCTTCACATAGTCATTCAACAAACACTGATGGCTGTCTACACTGTGCACCGGGGATCCGACAGTGGCCAAAAATCTCTACCCTCCACCCTGATATTTAAATGAGGGGGAGGCAAGCAATATTCAAAAAAGTAAAATATGTAATGATCCAGGTGACAAATGATATAAAGAATACAGCAGGGTGCTATAATAGGAAATAACAGTGGGGCCTGTTTTAATTAGAGATGACATTGAGGCTGAACTCAAGAAATAGTGCCCACAAAGCAGGAGCATCCCAGGCAGAGGAAGAAGCTTATACAAAACCCTGAGGCAGGCAAGAGCCTGGACGGAGCTGCCACTTGGCTCCACCCTGGATGACACCATTCACACTTTCTACGTGGCAGTGCAGCAGAATCCCTGGAACTGTGCACACGGTGGCCTGGAGCTTAGTGCATTTCTGGCAGGAAAAACAGGGTTATGACAGGAAATGTGTCAGCCCTGGGTCGGGGGAGAACATGCTTCCTACTGTGATACACACATTGCCATGTTCTGTCACAGCCCGCCTGGTGACTATTAAAAGGTGGCCTTGCATGGTGCTCTTACAGCTCTTCCACGTGGCTGCCGGCCTCGGCTCCACGGTGGACGGCAAAGTGCAGCTCTGGGCTTTGTCTGGAATGCCCACCCCTTCCCCCATGCACGCTGTCCCCACATCGAGACTCAGTGGAGCCACTGCTATCGACATGGATGTTTAGAATCCTCTGCTGGGGCTGGCTGGAAGAGGCTCGAGGGCCATGCTGAGGCCAGCTGCATTTTCTCTAAGCCACAATTCAGGCATGATGTCCTTGACTGAGAAAGAGAACACAAAGATGGAAAAACTCCGTGGACCTCCACTCCCCCTTTAGAGCCAAAGTGAGGTGAGATGCTCCTCAAAAAAAGAAGGATGGGGTGCTTCTCTGACCAAATAAGTTTGGAAAATAACCATGGAACTTACGAGAGCCTTTATTAGACTAATCAACGTTTCTAACAGTTCAGGAGGGATATAGTGTGCAGAATTCTCCAAGTGGATTTGACCATGAAACCGTGCATTGTTTTGTTTTCTTTCTCATAACACCTTGTGACTGCCCCTGGAAACTACTTCGGGCCACGTTGCCTGCTCTTATAAGCTTCGGGGTGAGCCGAGAGCTAGACTAAAGATTAATAGAAAGGCAGAAATTACTAGGCAGCTCCCCACTGGAAGGGCACCTCCCCCCAAATACACACATACACACAAACACACACACACACACACACATTCTGGATATTTGGGCACTGTGGTTTCTTGCTCAGCTTGAATAACAAAATGATTAACCAATAGTCAACTTTGGAAATTTCATTGAACCAAGAAAGGGAGAATGTGTTGAAAACTGGGAAATGCTTAGCAGCAATAAAAAAAAGGAGCTTTCACGCTTCCCAAAAATGCTTCCCAGGCTCAAGTTGTTTCCATCCACTAGTGCTTTGCCTGGCCTGGAGTCCTGAGGGATCCTTGAGGGAAGGCTGCTCTCACTGGCATCCAG